AACAGGAGGATCACCACCAGTTTGAGGCCAGCTTAGGCTAAGTAGTGACTTCCATGTCAGCCTTGGCTATAAAGTAGATTCTAAGACAGCCTGAGCTACAAAATGAAACCATGTCTCACACCTATACACCTAGAAAGAGTGATGCTCAACCAAGTTCCAAACACAGATGAACTCAAGGATGGTCTGAGAAGTTAAAAAGTCAGGCACAAGACAATACTTTATGACTTAACTCAGATGAGATTTTAACACAGCCCAACTCTAAGAAGTACTTATTGTCTATAGTTTTTCATATATTAGTTATAGCTTTTTTCTTTTTATTTGAATAAAGGGGAAATGTGATATTTTAATTGTGCTGAAATTTGATTTTATTTGTATGTAAATAAATAAGGTTTGCCTGGAGATCAGAGGTCACATAGCCATAAACATCAATCAGGTGGTGGTACCACACACCTTTAATCAGATCACATGTCAGGCAGAGTCTCTGTATAGTCAAGGACTCAACCAAGCATGGTAACATGAGCCATTAATCCCAGTACCAACGATAGAGACCAGGAGGTCTGTATAGACAGGCAGTGATGAGGAAGTCATGTGGCTGGGCATAGAGCCAATGAAAAAGAAGAACATAAAGGCAATAAAAACACAAGTTAGACGGGAAGAAGGTCTCTCTGGGGAAGCAATGGCAGTGAGATGGTAAGATAAAGTACTTGTGGCTCTTTGTTAGTTTTCTGATCTCTTTAGCTATTACCTCTGTATTTGGCTCTGTGTTTCCTATCTAATAAGACTGTTTAGAAATTTGTCTACATAGTATACATAAAATAGTGATCTCAGGAAGAGGTCAGAGGTCTGCAGCTTTGAAGGCCTAGAGGACCTAGGGTCCTGTTAATTCTTCAACCATAAACCACAAAAATTTCCTTTAGATTGCCATCTTCTATGTGTTGTTTTTCATCATCGATCATCTTATTTTGCACTGTGGTATCTTTTCAACATACTGCACTGCCAGGTTGTAAGGCCAAATTTTATAGCTACAGGGAAAATAAATTCATAATGATTATGATGGATCCATATGCTTTACCTTGCCTATGTGGCCATTCCTACTTCTAGAAACTGCATGTACTGTTAAATTCTTCTGTGTCTTCAGAAGCTCACTGAAACTCATAACAACTATAAGTATAGAGCCCTTAGCATGCATTTACACACATATAATGAAAAGTCTATCTCAACCAGTTACTCAAAAGCATTTTTTAGACCACTGGCTTTCTAAATCATCCTAGCTTTTGGTCCTTGTCCTTCTGGCAATGTGTGGCTACAGCATGCCTGCCACAGTACAGGTCAAGATAGCTAAAATGTAAATTGGAAGAATGTAAGGCATCCAGGAAGTCTGCAGCCAACTTCATCATAGGTTTTCTAAGGAAAGAGGGTATCAGGGGCCATGAGAGTGCCAGGCAACTGGAGGAGTGAGTAACTAGTGGGGATGGCAAAAGAAAATGTCCTTATGTGAGATTCTGGCAAATCACTAAAATTTTGAGACTCTTTTAGAACATGAAAAAGAGAAACTTTATACTGTGTTATTTTTGTAGTGTTCCTATCATTTGTTTGGTTTTCTGTAGTAAATGTCAGTTTAAAGAAAGGGAAACAAAATAATTGCATAAGAGGAAATGCAAAGGGAGAGCTGGAAAAAATCCTATCTTAGATGTGTCATGAAAAGATTCTCTGGAGTCTGACAGCTTCATGTGGGAATGAAGGAGTGCTGAGCTTCTGGGGCACAAACCAAGAGATGATTTGGACCTACACAGAATTCTTAGCTTTTTGTTTGTTTGTTTTAATTTCTCCATAGAGTTAATTCTTACGAATATTATCTAAGACACTAGCTTCCCAGGGATCCAGCAGCTATGGGTGACCAGAAGTCATCATATTGGATAGAGAGCTCTAAGTGATGGTCTAACTCAGTTTATGCCTACATTTTATTTATTCAGATTACAATTATGGCAAAGGGTCTTATAAATTTCTTATGAAGAGACTGAATCAAAGACAGCAGTGATAATTGGTACCACACATGAATAGTACTGCTTATTTATGCATATCTCTAGAGCTCTCTTTAAATCTAAGCCTCCTGCCAGGAACAGCAAAGATGGACTTGGAGTTCACTGAACTGTTTTTTCTCCTGTTCTCAGTGGTAGTCACATGGAATACAGCTTCTTTCTCTGCTTTTCACTATACTTTTCTCTTTAAAAGCGTCCAGGAAACATGACTAACTGGTGGATACCACCCATGATGGTTTAAATGAGATGTACCTGTAGCTAGAGTTCTCCTGCCTTGCCCACAGTCAGGACAAATCTTTGTCACCCACCAGTCCCACAGCCACTCAGACCCAACCAAGTAAACACAGAGACTTATATTGCTTACAAACTGTATGGCCGTGACAGGCTTCTTGCTAACCGTTCTTATATCTTAAATTAATCCATTTCCATAAATCTATACCCTGCCACATGGCTTGTGGCTTACCGGTACTTTACATCTTCCTTGTCCTGGCGGTGGCTCCAGGCAGTCTACTTCTGCCTTCCTGTTCTTTTATTTCTCTTCTCTGTTAGTCCCGCCTATACGTCCTGCCTAGCCACTGGCCAATCAGGTTTTATTTATTGACCAATCAGAGCAACTTGGCATATAAACCATCCCACAGCGCAGCCAAGTGCAGACCATCTCAGACACCTGCACTCAGGCCCATGGTCCTAATCATCCTCTATGCGGACCTGCTGGGCAAAGCCACGAGGAATCCAAGAACGGGCTCCCACAGGACATACAGAACATCCCACAGCATGTACCCTGTAAGTTTCAGGTATGTGAATACTTGGTCCCAAGTTGATGGCTGTTTCAGGAAGATTAGGAGATGAGGTATTCCTGGCGGAAGCACATCACTAGGGACAGGCTAAGGGGTTTCAAAAGATTTCACTACATTTGAAGTTAGCTTGCTCTGCTTTCTGTATGTGATTTGAGATGTGAGCACTCAATTATTTCTTCCACTATGTCTCTGATCAGCCATCATGGACTCTAACCCTCAGAAACCATAATCCTAAAATAAAGCCTTTCTTTTATAATTTGTCTTGATCATAGTGTTCTATTAAACATCAGAAAAGTAATTCTTATATGAACTTAGGAGGAATGAGTGGAAAAGATATTCCAAGCAAATGGAACTAAAAAACAAGAAAGTGTAACTATTCTATTATTTGACAAAATAGAGTTCAAACCAAAACTAGTGAGAGGCAACAGAGGAGATCATTTCATGCTCACTAAAGTAAAATTCCATCAGAAGGAGATTCTAATAAACGTTTGCTGGCATCATAAAAAGAATTTGGAAGTGTTCCCCCTCTGTGCTCCAAGCTTAGGGGCAGCCAGTTTTCATATGCATAGAATACAGATGTTTTGTAAAGTATGTCCTTATGATTCCTTAATTTCCTCAGTGTCTCCCTTTTCATCTCTGATTTTATGAATTGGAGCCTCTCAGCATATTTTAGTTAATTTGGCTAAAGCTTGTTAATTTTGTTAATATTTTCAATGAACCAACTCCAGGGTAGGCACCATATCCAAAAGCATCTGAATAACACAACTGGACTCAATGGGTTTTTGAAATAGAAAGAGAAAAAACAGGAAGTTGAGTGGTTAGGAAAGTGGGAGTGAACTGGAAGGAGTTGAATGAGGGGAAGTGAATGTGATTAAAATACATGGTATGTAATTATCAAAGAATTAATACAATATTTTTAAAAAGGAGAAATTGTGGTTTGGTGTTAAAAACTTGGTGAGCAAAAAGAAGGCAGATACAAAGCTGTAATGGGAACAGAACCAACTTACTATGTAAGAGAGTACAATTGGGGGCAAGAAAGGACTTTGAGGGGAGATGGAAATGTTCATATTTCTCAGCTGGACATGGTATTACATGTCTTTAATCCTACCACTTGGGATGCAAAAATGCAAAAGCAAGTGGATCTCCATGAGTTTGAGGGCAACCTTGTCAATATAGCAAGATTCAGGCTAACCAAGGTGAGCACACACACACACACACACACACACACACACACACACACACACACATTTATATAGGTACACATGTTTAATCTCAGCACTCAGGAGGCAGAGGCAGGCAAATCTCTTGAGTTCCAGGTCAGCCTAATCTACAGAGAGAATACCAGGACAGACAAGGTAACACAGAAAAACATGGTCTTGGAAAAAACTAACTAACTAACTAACTAACTAACTAACTAACTAACTAACTAACTAACACCCAACAACAACAACAAACCACCAGAAAACATAGAAAAATATTCAGGAATAAAGGACACTAGACATCAGCACTGAATGCATGTGAACCTGAACATGGAGGAAGTACCTAGAGTGACATTATCCAGTCAGTGAATGAGTATGTGCATCCTAGATTAGAACAAATTATTGTACTAATACCAAATGTCCTGATTCTGATCACTTGGGTATGGTTGAAAAAGATGAAGTGTTGTCCCTAGAAAATATTTAAGAACTTTTGGGCCTTGATTTTGTTGGTTTGTTTGGTTCTATGACACAGACTCTCACGTATTCATTATTTTATTTTTCAGGAATCTTGTCTTAGCCTCCTAATTGCGAGATTACGAGTGTAAGCCACTACATGTAGCCAACTCCAATTATTACCACCATTTCTGTCAGGCCTCAACTTATCATAGATGGATTAAGAAGGATTGGTATGAACACTAATGGCTTGGATAAAATATATTCAGCAGCTTCTTGAACCATCCTTGCAAATGTTCTCCAAATTTGAAATTATATTCTATGGGCAAAAGAAATGTGTATAATAATGAAGAAAACTTCTACATAAAACAAAACACACAAAACAAAACAGCAATCAAGTAATAAGTAAGAAATTGAAGCCCACAACTATATTATAGTTCTTAATTGTGCTTTCAATTAAGACCATGTATCCTATTGATAATGAAATACTCAGGCTGTTTATTAGGGTTCTTTATTTAGCTCTATGGGTGTTTAAAAAAACAAAAAGAGCAGATTTTTCAGGGGCTTGGGCCAAAGGGTGTCCATGCACCAGAGAAGATGTGCTCCTCCAAGAAGAAAGATGGCCTCTTCTCTGTCAAGTCAGATTCTGGAGAACATTCTCAACCTCTTTCAGCTTGTCTCTCTGTTTGCACAGTGGTCTAAGTCCTGTGATCACAACACTTGTTCATAAGAAGTCACAAATTATTGCAGGAAACAAATGAAGATCAGCACATTCCATTTTACCTTTACCTCTTGCTGGAGAGTTAATCAGGGAATTTATCCAGTCTCTTCTCGCATATACAGGAGTAGGATTTAAAACAGTTATCATTATCTAGTCTTGTTCTAGATAAAAATGCACATTTTCCAGTCTTAGGATTGGGAACTGTTATGTTCAACTCACTAAGGAACAAAAACAATGGGCAATTGTTTAATTTTGAACATTCATTGAAATATCATGATATTGGCCAAAGTATACAGAATATGGAACTATTAGTAGTAAGTTCATTACTAAAATGTTTTCTTTATGCTAAGTTAATTAAAAAGAAATAGTCTCTTGATCATACCAAAATCCCCATCTTACTCCAAACTCGCAATTTTTAGCCAGCTGATAATATTGATTTTCAATATTTCCGAAGAATTATTTTATGCTACAACTGCTTTCCCACTTATATTTTGTCAATAAGCATGTTAGATAGAAACAAATGTGTGTAGAACACAGAACAAGGCCCCGTATGCTCATGTGTTGTAGAATATTATTTTAAGATGTGTTACATTTGTTAATGCTGTACAACATTTTTGTTGAATGGTGTAAAGATATGTTTCATTCTTTTATGTTGCATTTGGTTAACTCTGAGAAGCTGTGTTATTGTGCCTGTCTAAAACATCTGATTGGTCTAGTAAATAGCTGAAAGGCCAATAGCAAGGAAGGAGAAAGAATAGGCAGGGCTGGCAGACAGAGAGAATATATAGAAGAAGAAATCTGGAAAGAAAGTATTGGGGAGCACAAACAAGGAAAGGAGGACTCAAGGGGCCAGCCACCCAGCCGCCCAGTCAGCCACTGAGTAAGAGTGAAAGTAGGATTTACAGAAGTAAGATAAAGGTAAAAGCCTGGAGACAAAAGGTACACAGGATAATTTAGGTTAAGAAAAGCTGGATAGAAACAAGCCAAGTTAAGGCCAGGCATTTATAAATAAATAAGAATAAGACTGTGTGATTTATGTGAGAGCTCAAAAAGCAAAGAGTACAAAACTGACAGAAATCACACTCCTACTCAGGCTGAGGTGTCAACAGGAGTCGGGAAAAACCTGAAATGATCAGGGAAGCACTGTAGCCAGATTTCTCCCTAATAGTTAGAGGAAGCTGAGTAAATAATAGACTCAAAATGGAGATCCTAAATCATTAATCCAGCCAGGCATAATGGGGCACAATTGTAGTCGCAGTATTTGGGAGATGAAGGTAGGAGGATCACAGTTCAAGACATAGGGAGTTTGAAGCTAGTCTGGACTAATGAGACTCTGGCAAAGAAAGGTAGAAAGAGAAGGAAACCCACTCACACTACATGGAACTGAGACTTCAAAGGAATCAGGTTTTAGCAAAATAAATCACTTTCTTTGAGTCTTGGATTTTAGATGGGGAGAAATGTAATATTCAAATGTACCATAGTAATTTAGAAGAAAGGAAGATAAATGAAGCCAAGTGGCTTGTGGGACATAGACAGAACAGGTTAGATACATTAGGAATGGAATGTCAATTAGTCAGACATGAGACATGGGTTACAGTCAGGAAATCATGTGTGTATGTTTAATATGTGCAAAAGGAAGAAAGGGCCCAGAAGACACCAACTGCTCACAAAAGATATTTATTAAAAATAAATAAAACGTGTGTTTACACAGTGACTTGTACATGAGTTGGCATGATATCTTTCATAATTGTCAATAACTCATAATTGTCAAAACTTAGAAACGGACCATATGTTCACATGTGGAAGAATATCATGTTATATTTGTGTAATATAACATGTGTGCTTGGTAACAAAAAGAATGAACCACTGCTTTGTGATGAAAGCTTGAGTTACCTAAAATAATGATGATGATGATGATGATAGTAGTAAAAGATGCAGAGAAAAATGGAGTCAATCACAAATTTGTACATTGTATATGATACTCTGAATGTCACCATACTAATTTACAGTACAAGAGAGCACATGCCTAATTGCCTAGGGCCAGGCAGGGGGAAAAGTGCAAAAAAGAACTTTGGGAGGTAACAAAACTGCTGTTTTGGTTTGATGGTTCCTATTACTATGATGAAACACCATGAACAAAAGCAACTTGGGAGGATAAGGTTTATTTTGTTTAAACTTCCACATTATAGTCCGTCATCAAAGGAAGTTACAGTAAGAATCAAATTGGGAAGGAGCTTAGGGGCACAATCTAATGCATGCCAGTGGCTCTGTCAGAGGAGCAGCAGATGGCAATTGACTTCAGGGCATCGGCCCACTAGGAAACAAAACCCTGATGGGTCAATCTCGGGTATGAAAGGCCCTGAGACCACAGACCCCAGAGTGTCTTTTTCTTCTGCTGGGCCTCCACATGTTTATTGCTGCCATTTTCCTCTGGTATCAGGCATGGTGTGAATGGGAATGGGGAGATCCCCACTTCACTTAATGCAGTATGATCATCTCATCTTTTGAAAACATCCCATTCTATAGGGAAATTTTACCTGTGGATTATTATGAAGATGACTTCCTCTTAAACTGTACTGTTTAACTGAAGCAAAGATTTTATACAATAATAGTGTTAGTTTAAATGGAATTTTGATGATTGAGGGTTTTAATAAATATAGTAAGGCATTATAATAGAGGCTAGTTTAGTGGAAAATTAATACAGGTAAAGGTAGGATGAAATGTTGCCCCTGCCTCTGATAAAGCAGAGGCTGCAGAGGATGAAAAATAAAACAAGGCAGCGTCACACAGCTAGAACACATGAGTTTCTATAGAGGATCCGTATAGACTGTGGTGTGGTGATATTTTATTTGTACTAAAATGTGTTTTGTATGTTAATAAATAAAGTTGCCCAGGGGTCAGAGCTATTAGAGCCATAGCAAAAGCTGGGCGTTGGTGGTACATGCCTTTAATCCCAGCACTTGGTAGGCAGAGCTAGGTAGATCTCTGTGTGTTCAAGAATACAGCCAGAATTGGAGACACACGCATTTAATCTCAATACCAACCATAGAAGATCTGGAAGCCTGTACAGACAGGCAATGATGAAGTGGTCATGTGATTGTGTTTACAACCAATGAGAAGGCAGAACAGAAAGTCTATATAAAGACAAACACACAGGAAGTAGGTCTCTTGGCTGAAGAGGATAGCTGCAACAGATGGGTAAGGCTCTTAGCTCTGACCTCTAGGGCTTTCATCTCTGTATTGGCTCTGTGTTTCTTATTTAATAAGATGGTTACTTCTACATTGTGGCTTAGGTTAATGATAAAAAACAAAAACAAAACAAACAAACAAAAAACTGAGTCCCAGTAGCCCAGCTAGGTTAAATTCTTTTAATCTTAATGTAAAGAGATGGTTCACAGGTTTCAGTGTGCATCATAACTGAAACAAAGCCTTAAAGTAACTTCAAGTTAGATTAAGATGTTTTGATAATAGCTTTGAGATGAAGATCCCTAAAAAAGGAATCTAAAGTTCACAAGGACACATAGCTAATCATTAGGTTAGGGATCAAAATCCAAAGCAGCCCAGTTGTTATTAGCTGATATATGTTCCTTGTTAGGATTGATTGTTGATCAAAGATGATGATTAATTCCTTATACACATTCTGCCCCCAATCTCCTGATACAAAAACTATTGATGAATGGGTATGCACCCTAAAGATTGAAAGTAGATCTGACTGATTCTTTTTCATATGTAAAAGCGTAGGTTTGTGATTCTCTTAAGATTCTTTAAAAGATTACCTTTCAGGATATGTAATAAAGTAATTTATTCTTTGTAACTACAATATGAAGCCTGCCAGCAGAAGAACTGGCTGAGAAAAATATCTTGCTTGCTCACACCCTGTTAATTTATAATAAGTTACTTAGATGTGAATGTATGTGGGTCCTTGGGATGACTTAGTTTTAAACATGTTTTTACCTGTATTCAATGTAGTCATTCACTTGAAAAATAGAATGTAACTACATTGTGATTTTTATAGTGCCTAAAAATTTTGTTGGGGTTCATAAGCTGCAGAGGAAAAAATAAAGCCACAGAATAGAGAACACAGAATAAAAAATAGAGAAAAAGAGAGTGTGTGAATGTCTTTCTCCTTAACCCTTCAGATAAATAAATCAGAGTATGTCGACTCTGTGCATTTCTTCAAGCACTGAGCTGCTGAAGGTTGGACCCCAGGTGGGGATAGATGTATATGTCACAAAGGAGTGCAGCTTCCTGGCCTGCTTCCCCAAATTTGCTCAGCCTACTTTCTTACAATACCCAATACTACCAGCCCAGGGGGAAAACACCTACAATGGGATAGCTCCTCCCACACCCATCACTAATTAAGAAAATGCCCTACAAACTTGCCTACAGCCAGATGTTTGTTATTGAGGCACTTTCTCACTTGAAGTTCCCTCTTCTCAGAGGACACTAGCTTGTGTCAAGTTGACAGAAAACTAATTTGCATAATGGTGCTTATAAAGGTGTATATATTTGCTAAAACTCATATTTCTCATGACTTACACAGGGTGCATTTTATTACATTCACACTCCAACTCCAAGACTTGAAGTTTTTAATGTAATTGTCAAAAGAAAGAAAAAAAAGAAGGAAGGGGGAAAGGAGGGAGGGAAGGAAGAAAAAAAGAAAGAAGGAAAGAAAAAGAAAGAGAGAGAGAGAAAGAAAGAAAGAAAGAAAGAAAGAAAGAAAGAAAGAAAGAAAGAAAGAAAGAAAGAAAGAGAGGAAGAGAAGAAGAGAGAGGGAGAAAGAAAGAGTGAGAGAAGGAAGGAGAAAGCAAGCAATCAGGAGTCAAACTTTCAGAACTAAAGTACATTAAAAGTGAATGCACTGCATGATCCTGAATATAAGGAAATATCAACAGTGACATGATCCAGAAAACTGACAAAACTAAATAATAAGAATATGGATTACAAATTAGAACATATTAATAAATCAATCTACATTTATTGAGTTTAATTGTTTCAGTATGATGTTGTAAAAAATTGCTTGTATCTAAAAATATTTATGGATGGTTTATTATTATTATTATAACCATTATTATTATGAGGCTTTATGAGACAGAATCTCACTCAAACATACTATGTAGCTTAGGCTTCCCTCAGACTCATTTACCTATAAGATTATAAGTCTTGAACTTTTACATGCATCCGGCCTCAATGAATATTAATGTATCTATGGAGCTTC